GAGGGGAGGCAGCGGGGCAAGGGGATGTCCCACGTCCTGCCAGTGGCTGTAGGGGATTGTCCCCAAATTGGGTTTCCCCTGGCTTTAATTGGGGTAAAATAAAACCCAATCCCATAAACATATGGCCAGGTATAAGGGTTTGCGGTTTTCCAGCTGCATCCAAAGCAAGAAAAGAGCCGGAGCAGCCCCAGATGAATTCCCCAAACATGGTGTTATCCTGACAGAACTCCTGCTCCCCTCCAAACCCAGCACCTGCCTAATTCCCAAACCTCCAGCCTAGTTTCAAAAACCCCAATCTCACCCTTGAAGCTCCCTCTGCCATGGGGTGAGGGGTTGCCGAAGGGAAGCACGGCAGGTGGGAGGGAAATCATTCCTCTGCCCGCGCGTTCCCAATGGAAGCCACCCCCCTGCGAGCATCCCCGGATGCTCCTGCGCTGGGGAGGAGGATTTTGGGACTCCGCTTGCCCCCAAGGCCCCTCCACTTGCCCAGTAGTGGGTACAGACGTGGGCAGGCAGCCAGGCAATTCAGGCAGAGCAAACACAGGCAGGACCTGGCAATGCACGCCAGGTCAGTCTCTGGACGGACCCGCTCCCCAGTGGGCTTTGGCAAAGAGCTCATTGATATTAATTAAAAAGGAAATAAAAAGCTTGCTGCAGAAAAGGGCTCTAATTAATTTCGGAGTTGGCCCGGAGAGGCTGAGCCCGCTGCAAGTGTCCCATGAGGGATCCGGACCGTGGATGCAAACAAGATCACAAGATGCTTTAATGAAATAAATCCTCCAAATTATGAAAACCAGCCCATAAATGAGCAATTTGACAGGGATGGAGGTTGCAGGATTCCCAGCAGTGGAGCAAATACGTTTTCAGCGGGGTCTGGGCATTGTTTGTTTGCATCTGAGGCTTGTTTCTATGCCGTGCTAATTATCTCAGCTGCAATTAAAAGCCTTCAATTGGTTGTACCTGACCTTTGATTATATTTTTGTGCAAAATGCGGGATGGCGAGGCTCTTGAACCTGCAGCCTGTGGACTTCTCCGGGCTGACAAGGAGTCATCCTTTAACAGCAATATGAAAAAAACATGGTGTTGGTTTAAAAAAGAAAAAAACACCACCACCCAAATCGTTGCTTTTCAGGTGTGTTTAAGGATAATTATGACAGCAGGAGAATCGTGATTCAGGGACTGCTGGCAGCTTGAAGTGTCATGGTTCTCTCCTTGTACTTGCAGGCACCAGAGGATTTTTAATATGCTCCTGACGGCTAATGAAGAGCGGGAATGAGCAGCGGTCGTTAGACACATTCACAGAATTCACAGAATTCACAGAATTGTTAGGGTTGGAAGGGACCTCTGGAGATCATCTAGTCCAACCCTCCTGCCAGAGCAGGGTCACCTACAGCAGGTTGCACAGGACAGCGTCCAGGCGGGTTTTGAATGTCTCCAGAGTGGGAGACTCCACCACCTCTCTGGGCAGCCTGTTCCAGTGCTCCACTACCCTCAAAGTAAAGAAGTTCCTTCTCATGTTAAGATGGAACTTCCTATGTTCAAGTTTATGCCCATTACCCCTCGTCTTATCACTGGGTGCCACTGAAAAAAGACTACTCCCATCCCCCTGGCATCCTCCCATTAAGTATTTGTATGTATATTTCTCACATTCTCACAGCCCTGATTGTTACGGTTATTTCTGACGATGGACCGGGATTGTATCCGCCACTGAGGGATCCAGACAACCCCACAGATGCCACGAGAGTGGTTTCCAGGTACACACCGAAAAGGGGCGATTAAAAAAAAACAAACAACCACACCAAAAAAGCCTCATTTCAGGCACATTCAAGAGACTTTTAAACGGGTGCCGTAAAAGATTTGCATCTCCGAGCGTGGCAGCGTGCATCCTGTCTCAGGGACGAGCAGTGGGGAGCTTTCAGAGAAGGCTCGAAAGGACAGGCCCCCCCACGTCATCCCCTGGCTAACCCCCCCGCAAGCCTGTCTGCCTGCCCCCAAGCCTGCCTGGGTCCTCCAATCCCACCAGTCACCCACATCTCAGGCTCCT